TTCAAATTCTTAAAGTCTACATACAATAGTGAAGAGCTCATTTGAACAATTACCATGAAAGTATTTATAGAAAAGGCACAGGGAAGCAACTTTTGGTGGGAAAGTGACTGAAGCCAAGACGCCAGGTCAGGACCAATAATATCGCTGATTCTTTGTATTTTATCAAGGATCTCTAAACATGTAGCAGGAGCACTGGACTATATATGGCAGCAATATTCCAAACAAGGATGAATGGTAGACTTTTAGATATGTAAGATAGATTCTGGAGAGAAAAATTATCTAGCATGACAAAGTGAACCAACTTTTTTCCCATTTCATGTCAGCTGAGAATTTTAACCTGAGAAAGCATAAGGAGTCACTCTCTTGGCGGTTAGCATCAGCCATGCTGATGGAAGGTCGAAAGGGGTCTTAGATGATTAATAGAGAGCAGTTTTGTTTTAGAGGTGTTAAAATTAACAAGCTATTCTATATCCTCGTTAACAACAGACTGAAGGTTGTTTTTGAAATCAGCTACCAATTTGACCTTATTCAACTGATCAAACTTAGTATTGACACAGGAGTAAATAGTCATCAACATAGGTACCAAGTTGAGAGCTGATGTCATCAGGAAGGTTATTAATGAAAATTAAAAACAAAAGTAGGACCAAAATAGAGCCCTGGGAAATATTGGTACAAAAAGGATCTAGAAGAGTGGCCATTCAGGACAACTTTCATTTTGGGATTTGATAAATAAACTTAATCAAACAAAAAATATATCCTGAGAGATAACTTTTCAACTTGTGAAGAAGACTGGTCTGCAATTATGTTGAATGCTTTTGAGATGTCCAAAGCAATGGCCCAAGCTTCATCATTCTTATCTAAAGCTTAATAAACTCTTTCCACAATAATCGTTAATGAATCAGCAGTAAACCTAAAGAAACAAAATCTATATTGCTTGTCTGAAAGAAAGCCTTGCATTGTAAGATGCTTAACTAATTCAGCATTGATTAGGGCCTCTAGTAGTTTTCTCAAAAAGGGGTAGAAGGCTAACAGACTGATGGTTAGAAGGGTCAGATGGTTTACCTGAGTTCTTAAAGACTGGAACAACAGATGAGGATTTCCAACAAGCAGGAAAGCAAGAGGCAGCAAGGCATTTATACAGTTTAGAAGGGAACCAGTTAAAACACTTTTGAAAAGAAAATATTATATATTTTTTGTTGTCCACATGCTATTAAATCATCCAAATTGCAGATGATTAATAGAAACCATGGTCATTTGAAAAATAAATTTTGTCAAAATAGATTATTTTTTAATCAACTTAAAATCAAAAAAGTAAACTATTTATTATTTCTTTAAAAATTATCAGGACTTTTGCTATCATAATAAACTTAAATACACAGAGTAAAAAATTTGGCACAGATTGACCTTTTCATCTGTCATTTATACATTAGGTTATAACATTCTCAAATCAATTCTGTTGTTTATAGCAGTGCTTGGAAGGAAAGTGTGTAAAATTATGGCCAAATATAAAACACCAAAAAAAAGGCTTCAAAAGTGATTATGGCTTGTGCAGCAATTCTTGGCTAAGACAATATTCCCCAGTTCTGACAAACATATTTAAGATCTCACCCTTTCTGAATAATTTCTTCAAAAATCAAATCCACTTCAAAGGAAAAAAAAAAAGATGTCAAAAATTTCAAAGAAAATCTGATGCAGCAGCTGATTTAGATCCCAGAAAAAAAAAGTTCAAAAAATGTTTTTATTCAGTGGAAATGATGCTGGATAAAGTGTGGGGCTTCAGACGGGGTCTACTTCAAAGGACATTAAATGTTGTATTGATATGTGTTAATTTTTTTTTAAGGCTTAAAGTAACATTATGAATGATGACTGATGGTTTCATAAAAGATTATTTGTTAAAACACCAGTTACAATCACTGAAGTTAAGTAACATTGAGCCTGATTAGTACCTATATGGGTGACCAATTGGGAATACTGTAAGCTTGGATATGTGCTTAGTCTAATGGATAATGGCTCAGAATTGTTAATCGGAGAGCTGAGTTCCAATTCCTGTTGGGTTTGTTATATTCACTTACTCTTGGGAAAGGTATAAATCCATCTCTTCTCCCCAAGCTATGGGTTAATTAGTAAAAAAAAAACTTGCATCAGTAAAATCATTATCTCAAAAAAAAAATCTTATCTAAAAATATTTTCTGGCTTTAAATAACTTGTAAAGGGTTGATAAACCATAGAAAATAATCATTCAGTTTTATAGCACCAGTCCTGATACTTTTTGATCAGACCTCATATTCTTTTCAGAAATAATATAAATCAACTCTTATATCCATCTTTTTTTTTTCTTTTTTTTTTTTATAATCTTTCAGAGTGGATCAGTGCAGAATCCCACTGACAATTCAAACTTTTTCCTGTCTTCGTTCTTTGCTGTGTCTGCTTATTTGTGAGAGATAATCAGCAAAACAACTCTCTAAATCTTATTTTTTTCTTTTAAAAAAAAAAAGGACCCTGTGTCAAATTCTATATTACATTTGAGCAAACTCTTATTTCACTATCATGCACATCTTGGTTGTTATGCTCACAACCAAGATCAGTTGAGGAGGTGAAGATTTGACCTTGTAAAAATATTCAACACTTTCACAAAGAAAAGAATGAACAGATAAAGTCTAAATCCAATATTTATATATTCCAGAAATTGTTGGTGTGGTGTTTTACAAGAATTCTTTTTTTCTGTCCAGTTTCTTTTTGTAGAGAAAGGTTTTGTACAACAAGAAATAGACAAGACATATAAAAATGACTCCTTTTACAACTTTTACTCAGACTGCTATGTTGGACATAGTAGTGAATATATAGTGGGTTATTAGTTATAGTGAAGTGTATGAGTGTTGAAACAGATTAGTTTGATTTGGCCTTGTTAGTTAGATAGCCCACCATAAGAGGGGTATAAAGCAAGAAAATCAAACTGTAAAGTGAAACAACAAATTTATATACATATAAATCAATTAAGGTCTCTACAAATAAAATTAATGTATTTTGGTTGATACAAGGTCATCAAATGTTCATAGTAGTCCTTGCAAGAATGAGTTTGTGTACATAGGCAGGAACATATGTGTGGATGTATGTATGTATGTATGAGTGTTATCGTAGGGTAGGAATGTCTTTGAAGTAATCGCTCAGTCTTAAAATGTTCCATTCATTTACCAAGTATAAAAGAGGTGAGGGAGAAAGGTAGAGATAATAATAACGATTGCTTGACATTTGTCAAGGGACGTGTTAATACGCTAGTCTCCTTCTCTTTGGTGACAGGCGAACTTGCCCGTCTTTTTATTTTGTTTTTGGAGCTTGGAAAGGTCATTTGGGATTTCACTCTCGGATATGATTTGGACCTTTCCATTGGATGATGAACAAACTTCACGTCGGGTCCATAAAAAAATTTGTTTCTGAGAATTGAAGATTATTTGAATTTTGTTTTTAAATGTTTCTTAGTTTTCTATTGGCCTAAAAACATTTTGCATCAAGGTGTGAAAGTTTTGTTTTGGATTCGCTTTTGCGTGTGTGTTAAGCAAAGTTTGTAAATTTAAGTCTTTTTAATTTCTAACAAAATCAATGAGTTAGTGCTTAGCATTTGAATTTTAAATCTAGATCTTGTTTTGTTCACTACAAATACACTTGAATATTTAACAGAAAAATGCTAGAATCTATTTGAATGCACATTACTTGAAGGGTATAAAATTTCTAATAACTTAACAACTATACATGTTTAAAAGCTTAACCTTTGCAGATGAATAAATTGATATATGTTCTAAATGTTGTGTAAATAGGATCTTTTCTGTTAATTCACCCCAAAATAAAAAGAATTTATATTTACTAAAATTCACACCAAATTCTAGAGCAAGGCCCTTCCATTGCACTCCAGCTGGATTGAACTTTGCGATCACCCCAAATGTGGGCAATTCAAGTGCACTATTTCTAAGTGTGGGGCCTGTGTTCATGATAAACAAGACAAAAATCAGATTTTTTTTTTTTTAAATTGTAAAAAATTCCTTGTAAATACCTATGAAATGTGAATAACTCCCCGATTTTTGGTAATTTTTCATCCTGAGGTTTGGAGTTGTTGCAAGGCACGCTAAACAAATTTGATTTAAAATTTATAATTTCAAAAGAGTGCCAAAAATTTAATTTTATCTTATTCATTTTTGATAAAAAGACCTTTTTATTTTGCCTAAAATTGATTAACTAACAGAATAATTGCCCATGTGTTCACTATAATTTTAACCTGACTGATTGGTTAATTTTATTAAGTCTTAATTTATATACATTCTAAAAATTTTCTTCACAAATACTACAAATGTATGCTCATTTGAATAAAGCATATACTGATGATTTTGCATCTCAAAAATTTCAAACTTTTATTTTTAATCATTTCATCGCAAGTAAGGCAATAAAACCACTAAAATGCAAGGCGTTACTGAGTGTGAGAGAATATAAAAAAAAAAATCTATTAAATAGAGAGATCAATAAAAGAACAGGAATTAATAAGACAAGATAATGATTGACATTGTTTTTAAATTTTTGAAGATCAATGTTGACTGAAAAGCAAGATTCAGAAAAACAGTCCCATAAGAAGTGGGAAAGAAGAAATTGTTTGCGTAGAACTTGTAGTTACATCTAGCCATTTTAAGTGGGAAATGATGAGACTACTTAAAATTAAATTAAAAACTAAAATTCTCACTTAATGTACTAACATATGATTTTTTATATATATATATACATTTTTATTTTAAAATTTAAATTTATTTATAGTTTAAGGTGGAGGGTTTGTTATTTTTTTTTTAATTTTATTGAATTTTTTTTTTTTAATTTATTTGATAGTTAATTTATATTTTTTAATTTAATAGTTAACTACTGATTTCTGTATTGTAAAATTTTTTTACTTTTAACGCTTTTTATTTTTTTGTTTGTAGAACTTTAATTTAGTTTCGTTTCGTTTTTTTCTTTTCACCTTGCAGACGTTTCGCCGAACTCGCGCCAGGTTTTGAAGGCAACTCGCCCAACGCCCATGACACCATTCGTCGGTCGCACTTTACTTCGTAACAAATTCTACAAACGCATCTTGGCCAACGGACTCAAGCTTGCTTTCGTCTTTACGGTTCTTCCGAAATTTTTCGGAACCATGGCTTGGAGGTCCAGTGGCACGAGCAATGCCAATCTGGTCGATAACCTGTACAGTAAGTTTCATTTTGCCATTCTCAGAAGAAATACTTCTGTTTTTTTACCTTACCTTTTTCTTACTTTTCAAAAAGTGTTTAACGTTACGAGTTGATAAAAAATGGTCATAAAATGGGGGATGAGTTTTCAATAAAAATCTTCTATGAAGCAGTCACCCACTATTAAGTGGACGATATTTCTTTTCTTTTTTTTTTTTTAAAGTTTTCTTTCAGACCTTTTAAAGATATTATCTCCCTACTTTAGAAAAAAAAATTTTAACATGCGAGATAGCATCGAAGTTTTGCTTTGAAAGTTATTTTGTATGGAAAAACTCAAAAGTCAAAAACATTTTATTGGTAGTTATGTCTTAGTTTTCTTTTTTGGTTGTTTCTTTCGCATTTTTTTTCAGTTTTAAAGTAAAAAAAAAAAAAAAAAAATGTTAACCAAATTCAAAAAGGAAAATTTTTTTTTTTTTCTTGTTTTGTTTTCTCTCATTACTTTTGAAATTGATTTTATTGTCAATTTTTTTTTTGCTATCTCGAGATTACCTGGAAAATGTAATTCATTAAGTTGGGGTGTGTAAATAATTTATAGTTTTCACTTTTATTAATTTAATTATTTGTTACTTTTCACCCCAACAGTTTTTTACATAAAAAAAATAAAACTATGTTACTGTCAGTGGATTTGAACTTTAATCGCTGGATCCGTAAAATACGTCTTTTCAGTTTTTTTTAAGCGTTCAACCTTAAAGTTAAAGAATTGCTTTTTTTTTTTTTTTAAATAAAAAAAAAAAATCTGTAAAAAGAGTTTGTTTATTTTTAAGGGTTGTGGTTTTATTTAAACTTAACTAGGTTATCTTAACCTTTTCACATTTAGTAAGAAAATAAAATACGCAGTTAGTTTCGTTTTCACTTTAAAAGAAAACTGTTGTGATGTACTTTTATTTTTCTTTTCTTTTTAAATGCATACATTTTTTTGAATTTTTTAAATAGTTGTTACATCAAATATTTAGTACAAGCACTGATTTTTCGTATTTAGGTGACGAAAATTAAAATTATTACTTTATTAAAAACGACACTCGCGCTATGATTCAGTTCCTTAATAAAACTACTAGTTTCTCTCTTGTTTTTTGTTTTTTCAAGCTACCTGACCGATTTATTTATTTTTTGTATTATTTATTTTTATTTACTATTTATTTAGTTATTCAAATTTCTAAACTAATTTTCTCCAAAACAAAATTGCATCACTGTACGTGTGCTTTCTTCAGTAGTTTCATAGTTTTATTTTAGTTGCCTGTGTTTAGTGTAAAAAAACAAAAACATTTTTTTTTAGTTTGAAAATATATTGATGTGTTAATTATTAACAAAAAAGTAATCTTTTTAGTTGGATATTGTTTTAAAAAAAAATTAATTTTACTTAAAAGACCTAAGTCATTTTTTTTAATTTTGTTTCTATTTTGAAAATGAAATACAGTACACTACAGTGTACAAGTTATTTATTTTGTCCGCATTAATATTTTAGAAAAAAATGTCTTGAATTTTCAGAGTAAAAAAGATCTTGCCTTTCTTCGAGAGTTTGAAAAAAAAAAAAGTACCTACTTCAGTACGATTTACGATGATATATCACATGACTGAACAACCGTTTTTGAAGTGATGACCCCCCCCCCAATTTCTTCCTGCTTTTAACTTAAAAAGGAAGTAAGTTTTTTTCCCCTATTTTGTTTATGACTTCAAAGCTTGATGCTGTCAAACAAAAGTTATAAATAACTAGTGTTTATAAACTTTATATTGAAACAAACGTGACAAAAAAGTGTAGCACGAGAAAACCGAAAACATCTTTCTTTATTATTTTGCCAATGTCACTTTAAGAAACGACATCTCTAGAACTACGACGTAATTTTTCAAATACACATTGCTGCTGAGATTTCACTCCGTCTAACGGGCTTTTTATACTTTATTTACGAAGAAGACAGTTAAGGTCACCCATAGGAAATTTCTATTTTTATTAACTAATTAGCACCTTTGTTTATAACGGTGATAGACATTTGTTTGTATTGTATTAAAAATCGTGAACCTTGAATGCGGAAAAACTTTTGATGAAAATAGATCGCAGTTGTTTAAGAATCACTAAGGAGGCATGTGTGTCTAAGAGAGATCATTTAATTTGACCTTATATTGTTGATAACTTCTACTTTCACTTTTGTGTGGGCATGTGTGATACAAGTAACAAAACAATATTTTTCGTGCTAAAAAGCGGTGGCCAAAGGAAAAAAATTAATTTTAATTTTGTAAAGCAATGAGAAAATAAAGTTTAGTTGAAATGTATGTTTTAGTATTTTAGAAATTGTCTTTTTAGCCACTTGATTTTTTTTTTATGTATTATTAATTTAGTTAGTTCAGCTAAAATCTGGTACAAAATTGTATTTTGAAAGATTTTGCAGCATCATTTTTCAAACACTGAGCATATATCTTTTTTTTTTTTTTAAATATGGTTTGGTTTAAAACACCAACTCAGCAGACGCAGCATTATATATGTGCCCACACAAGAACGCTTATGCCATGATCTACCATTTGTATGTGCATCAAATATTGGTGCTTTTACTATGTATCTAAAAATTCTTCACTAAATCCAAAGAATCTGCAATGTTATAGGTCCTGTCCTGCCTGGCATCTCAGCTTCAATCACTTTCCCACTGCCCTAACAGTTTCCCTGTGCCTTTTTTATAAATATTTTCATAGTGATTGTTCTGATGAGCTTCCCTTTTTTGTACCTTGATTTTATGAATTTAAGCATAGTACTAGATTGGCAGCTAGGTCTCATCATTTTACTAGTAAAATTGCTAAATGTAACTGTAAGTTCTATGCTAATAGTTTCTTCTCTCTCACTTCTTGTCTGTGAAACTCTATTCCAGTTTTTTGCCTTCCTTACAACTGCAATCTTTAAAAATTTTAGATTGTCATCTTCTGTTTCCTTTAGTCCTGTTTATTGTTCTTTTCCTCAGTAATGTTTTTCTATCTCTTTCATACTCAGTAACTCCTTGCGTCTTAGTGGCTTTATCACCTTGCTTGGGTGAAATGATTAAAAAAAATTTCTTGTAAATATTTTTGTTTAATGTATTAAAAAATGAAAGTCATTTTGACATACACATATCTACCGAGTATGTTGTATTTACATACTAAATGCTAGTTGTTTGCTGGTGTTTGCATATACATTCAAATATACACCCTCTTTGTCAAATATATCCTGAAATGTGTACTTGTTCCTTCAGATGTTTAACATTTGGCACAATAACACTTATATGTACTTTGTCACACAAATTGTGTGTATGCTTCTTGCTACATGGCAGTCAACTTAACATTTTGTATTTATGCATATTGTTATATATTAAATATTATACTTTTGCATGCATTAACAAAATATCTGTAGAGACACATTAATTAAAATAATGTGTATATAAAACCTGAAGTACATAAAAATCAACATCTATTCATGTGTGTTATATGTCTATGCTTATATTTTTAAGTATCTCTATACTGAAAATTATGAAATAAACTTGCAAATAGATATGTACATATGTGTAATTATCTACCTATTGTCAATACTCATCTGTTCAAATACTTCCCTTTTTTTTTTCTTTTTTTTTCTTTTTTTTTTTTAATATTTCTTCAAAATGTTTTGTATATTCTCTATATTTTATTCTTTGTACATGCCATTTTTCACATGATAGTCATCAGTTCTTTGCTGTCTTAGTGTTTTCTGTTATTCTGGGAAATCTGAGATGAGATATCCACTGGCATTGACAGCAGGATTGAAAATGAGAGTTCAGTCCAAAATTCCTAGAAGGATACAAATTACTAAAGACACTTGAAAAAGGCTAAAGGATACATTGTGACTAGAACAACTAAAATATAGTCAATGTAAATCAGTGTACAATGATGATTTCTCTTCAAAATAAATTTACTGTTTGTCAGCATATAAGAAGTGTGTGTGTGTATAAAATTCTTTTTTAGTCATGAATGTTCAACCTAAATATCTAAAAATCAGTGAAGAGAAACTGTTTTACTTTTGTACATTTTTCTGTTAAAATTCTGAAAAACTTGTATAGTCAAACTAAAATAACTGTTTCTCAGATATGATTAGAAGCAATTGTAGAGTGTTTTTTTTTTTTTACCAAAAGTAATTTTTTTTTAATAACCTGAAAAGAGTTGGTATTCATTTTTGTGAATTAATTTTATTTTGCTATATTCACATTTACTGATGAAGAGGAAAAAAATTGTGTTAGGTGAGAAAGTGGCCATTTATTTCAGACAAAGTAATTCATAATGAGAGCAGAAAATTGTGTGTGTGTATATATAATATATATATATATATATATATATATATATATATATTATATATAGAGTTTTCTTGTCTGTGTCTCCTTGGCTGCTTTATGCTAATTTGTTTGGAAACAATAGCTTTATTATGTATGCCAGCTTTTGGAATTATGGCAAACATTATATAATGAGATTACTGAAGGATAGATTCTGATTTTTCTCTTGATAGAGTTCAGGTTGTCAAATTTTGCTTAGTATGGTCATTGGTGCTTAGGACAAGCTTCTTTAGTGAAAATCAGGTAAGTTAATAGATTTTAATTGCAGGATCAATTACATTAACCTGGACTTATCTTAATTTATCTGATAACTTCTATAAATGTCCTTCCTGTGTTTATGACAATGGTCACATTTTTATCTGTTAAATGAGAAACAATTGATACTATTTCTGTCATCTGACTATAGAGCAATTAGTGTTATAGGATATGTGCAATGAAGGAATAAATCTTTTCTCATTTTTTAATGATTTTTTTTTATTCTTTAAGCAGCAGAAAGAGTAGACATGAAGGAAAAGTTGTACACAGTTCTTTCTGATCTAACTTGCATTGCTTATTCATTTTACCAACTGAATCAGTCTATGGCTTTCTTGCACTATCTGACCCAAGGATTGAACTTACAACTGCCAGGAGATAAACTTTAACTCCTAT